CATCTTCATTTACCTACATTACATTACCATTTGGTGAATTTGATAATGTACCAACTTTTGGTAAAGTCTCTTCAAACAAACGCTTCGTCAAATATAGCCCCCTTATTTTTAATCGACATTAAAAAGATGTAGGCTCTCAATTCAGTTGTATTTTTTTTATGTTTGTTACCTCATAACTACATCAGTTATAAAACAGATATTTATAGATTGAGCCCATAAAATTTTTATTAACATCAATTTTGTAATTCAGTTTTGAAATCAAAATAACTGGTTTTGCCACAATTCAAGTCGATTTTTTTGTGGAACACGATTTTAAATTATCAACTCACATAAATTTTGTATCTATCTCACGGGGTCACTATAACGTCAATTTGGAAATCGATAGCATCTGTACCTATCCGATTCACTATCGCTACATTGAAATTCATAATCGATTATCGCAGATTATTCGTGCACCAAATATAATCGCACTCGTGGCTCAATCGATACTAGATATTGTCCGAATTAGGTTTATTCATTCGATTCAATCAGTTGTAAATTGCGGTTGCGTGTTCAGCGGTATTCTGTATTCTTCATATTGACCTTGACCTAGACATCCAATTCAATGGAATGTGTTTTATCAAAGACTTCAAACGTGCTGGTAATGTTATGACACGCACTCCTTATACACATGACTGTAAAATCAACGGGATTGATAATCGCTTCAGTGCAGTGACAAACGGATTTGATTCCCTTACAACTGAATTTTAGAAAAGATACTTTTTAAATACTACATTGGATCTTTAGTTTTGGATCATTTAAACATCATTTCGTGTGCTTGTTCTCTGTTAAAAATTTTATATAGTTAAGGCATTTAGGATAGTATTGTAAGTAGAGAATCCGGGATCCCGAATGATGCGAAAAATAAAATTATGTCTTCAACCAGTATTACGATTAATATAGAAGAAATTTTTGATAGAAGGTTGATAATATAATTTTATTTTTTGCGCCTTATTCAAAAATTATTTATATATATATATATATATATATATATATATATATATATATATATATATATATATATATATACGAGGTTTGTCCGGAAAGTACGTATAAAAGTTTTTTAAAAATTTTATTTTACAATTATTCAGGTAAATCAATTTTATCCCCTTCAAAGTACTCCCCCTGTGACATAATGCACTTGTGCCAACGCCGTTTCCACTGTGAGAAGGCTCCTTGAAAGTCCTCTGGTTGTAGGTTTCTCAGCTGCCCCGTCGTAGCTTTTTTTATCTCATTTATGTCCCCCAAATGCCGCCCCCGAAGTACCAATTTGGTTTTTGGGAACAAGAAGAAGTCACACGGGGCCAAATCCGGCGAATAGGGGGGGTGTTCGGTCACCGTAATGGAATTTTTACTCAAAAACTCACGGAACGATCTTGGCGCAAATTTTTTTCATTTGAAGTTCGTTTCTTAGAATTTCGTGGACCACGGTTTTGCCCAAATTAAGCTCTTCAGCCACCTGTCTGACCGTTAAACGACGGTCCCCATTAACACAAGTTCGAATTCTTTCCACGTTTTCGTCGGAATGTGAAGTGGAAGGACGTCCTGAACGTGGGTCATCTTGAACGCTTTCTCGGCCCTCTCTGAATCTTTTTAGCCACTTGTGGACGGTTGGTTCCTTCACAGCATCATCCCCATAAACTGTTCTGAGATCGGCAAAAATTTCACGGCCATTCTTGCCGAGTTTCGAGAGAAACTTGATTACGACGCGCTGCTCTTCAACGGAAGCGGGCTCCATGCCGACGGGGTTTCGTTAAGAGGTAACTTCACAGATGGCGTGACAAGCCAGTTCGCACCGCACGGCGGTCAGACCAGAACTGAAGCATTGTTAGGGACATAAGGAAGGGGTCCTGCGCTTACCTGGCCTCCCCACTCCTCTTTCTCGCATTCCAGAACACTTTTATACGAACTTTCCGGACAGACCTCGTATATATATATATATATATATATATATATATATATATATATATTAGTTATTACTATATATATATTTATTACTAGCTTTTGGCCCGCTACTTCTTACAGAAATGGACAAATCAAATTAGACCATTTCTAGAAGGTGAATCATTATAAAACATACACATAACATACTTCTGCATGCAGTATGCATTGCCAATGAGTAATATAGACAGCCTATATTTTATTTTAAAAAAAAACCGCGCGGAGCTGGAATGGACAGTCATTACCAGATAATATAGTAATTTTGGTACACCGCTTACACTAAAGCTTTACTAGGCGTCATCAACTCACAATTATATAAACAGTTATGTTACATTGCGTAATTCTAATTAGTACCAATTAAAACTGTACCGTGTGGGACCACGGCCGGAGCTCGGGCGTGTGAAACTGTCTTTACATCATAATAAAATCGTAACGGAGCCAAAACTATATATTAACCTCCTTATTCATAAAAACTGCCGGGTGGTCCCGGCATAGAATGGCCCCCCCTTCCTTTCCTTTGGATGTTCTAAAGAAGATTAAGGGAACTTAATGGACGAGGGATGTACAGCAGCGTCCCTCTTAAAACATCACCAAACTCTAACTGTGGTTGCCAATCCGCCTGTCAAGCGTGGCAACTACTGGGAAAACTCCCCTTATGAAGAAGGCCTATGCTCAGCAGTGGACAGTTAACGGTTGATACAATAATAATAAAAATTAGAAAAATATGTTTCTAAGTTCCAATATCGTTTTATTTGTGACCTCTATAAAACGTAACAAGGCAATCTCATTCACAATCTATTCTTCTTATAGCTCTTAATCTATAGAAAGCCGTTCATAGACAATTAAATTGTTTTTTAAACGTTCATAATCGAAGTAGAGTATCAGAGATTGTTGGCAAGGAACGAAAATGTAGCGGTATCTCATAACAATGAAGGTACTTACTAGGTACACCAATATTAACGTTTAGACATTCTCGTCGCATAATTCATGGTTTACAAGAAACGGGAATTAAGGTGGTTGGTCACTAAACATATTAAACAAATTATACTAGATGCCGTTGGTATCGAGATGTGGTTTTTGTTGATAATTTTGTAATTAAAGATAATTTGAAATAAAAATGGTTTTTCTTATTATGTATGGATGTGAAGTGACACATAATACGCGATCTTTTCCTGAATGAATCATAACGCACTTAAAGAAAATGTTTCTTGCTAGTTCGTGGTTTTTACAAAGTTGTACACTATATGAGAATAAAGAGAAAATTTATGATAAATTATTATTATATAGGTAAAAAGTAAATAAAGTCACTCGCCAATTTAGAAATTTTGCCTCAAATTATCTTAAATTAGAAAATAATAAACAAAAAATACAATTCTGAATTCTAGCGCCATCTAGTACTCTCTATCCAATTTTGTTTAGTGATCAACTACCTTAAAGCAAACTATATACTGTCGAGATAACCTACGTAAATTATTATAATTTATCTAAATGATCGAGTTAATTCACGTCTCTTATAAGCCTATTATAATAAAGAATATTGTACCTAGAATCTGTCTCTCAAGAAAACTTAATATAAATAATAAGGCGCCAGTACCCGCACCCGCAACACCAGAGGCGTTGCGGGTGATCATGGGCGACGGTAGTTGCTTACCATCAGGTAAGCCGCATGCTTGTTTGCTCCCTTTGTTATAAAAATATATATAAATAAATAAATGATTGTCTCGACCATATGAAAGACTGCTGATGTCCAGTAGTAGTGTAAATAAAAAATCGTTTAATTGATTGAATGTTTCATTTGTCATTTTCTCTAAATGTTTCTGTGATAATTTTTTAACAAAACTTGTTCAAATTTTTGTTAAGTTTTATTAAAATAGACTTATACCTAATTAATTTTAAACTTTCGCCTTTCTTAAACATATTTTAAATTAATAATCGAGACTTAACTGTACCTAACACAACTACTTTATCTGTAATTTAGTTTAGGAATTTAGAATTATTCATACCTATTTTTTACACATATACTCGTAAGTAAATAACTTACCAAAATATTTTACATTTCGAATAAAATCTCTTATATTTACATATTTAAAAAAATTATGTACGAAAAATTAAATATTATATATATTTTATTATTGAACAATTGTCGGAAAGGACAAAAACAGAGTGAGTTTATTAATTTCCCGTTACATATGTATATAGACATCTACCTTATATCTATGTTTTTGACACGCATTTAACCAATTTAATATTTCATAAACGAATTCAGGTCATTCATAAATTCTCAGAGACAATTTTAAACAGAAACCGAGTCGTAAATATCTTGTTTTATCAAAATGGTCCAGTGAAACAGTTTCTTGAAAGTGCAGTTACTGTATAGAGATAATCAGACTCATTTTGTAAGTTTGTTTTTTTTTTTTCAAATTGGATGATATACAAGGTTAATCTATATTATTTTCGGTAAAATAAATACCGACATTAAATGTGAAATTTTAAAATAAATGAAGTGTTTACATATAGGACTTGTGTACTTAATTGATAAGTAACTGCACGATTCCAGATAAAGAAACTCCTATAATAAAAAAAAAAAATGTATTTAAAAATAGATTGAAGAAGAAGACCAAAAAAGATAAAACTGTGTAAAAGACGATGTGAATGTCTAAAAACTCTTTGCTTGTTTACATATTTATTTCGGCATAAGATAAGACTAATAAAGGACAAAAAAATAAGTTTTAGAAATTTTATCTGTCTCTATATATGTATGTTCGTTACAGCATCACCCAAAAACTCAAATTGGACGTGGTTTTCGTAGTTGTATTCCAGAAGGTCTAACTCAAAGTATAATGTTGATTTTATTTTCATATGTCACCAAAAATGATCTCTTCCATTTGTTTTTTTACTTCCAAATTCATGCATACGAAGTCATGTGCAAAGCTAGTTCATAATATTTCGATGAAGAAGCGTTCTTAGCACATCCCTAGTTACAAAAACATTTAAATCTACAATCCGCTCTTTGTTTCCAGAGGGCGCCAATATAATGTGGCGCGCAATACTGCTGGCGTGGCTAGTCACCTCGAGCCGTGGACAGCAGACACGGCCCAACAGGGTCGTCGACCTCTCCACCACTTGCGATAAAGCCTCTGTCACCATACACCTGGATATGGAGAAGCCCTTCAAGGGGCTCGTATTCAGCAAGGATTTTTCGAGAGAATGTCAAACACAAGGTAGTTAATACTTACTATGTTACTAAATGTTAATATTTTGTGTACGTTTGAATAAAATTTGGTACACGGATATGTTTTTTTTTTAAATGGATGAAGTGGTAACCCCGACTACGTGCGCTAACAGTATGCGCTGGCGAGATACCAGTGAGTAGGGTTTTTTACAACACAGGGGGCAAACGGCTCACCTGATAGTAAGTGACTACCACCGCCCATGATCACCCACAACATCAACGGCATTGCAGGTGTGCTGCCGGCCTTTTAAAAACGAATATGCTCTTTTCTTGAAGATGGGCAATATATAGCAATATCTATATATAGATTCAATAAGGAATATGTTAAAAGTTTATTATTCAAAAAGTAATACTGAATAACACTTAACATATTCGAAAATAAATAACTGACCGATATGGGCAATATCGAAACGGGGGGATCTTTTTAAAGCCAAAAAACGGAGGAACCCAGTATATAGATATAGGATTGGTATTAATATTACCGGTATACATAGGTTTCCAGGGGAGACCACGTGGAGGTCAACCTGACATGGTATATTGTTAATAATGGGACTAGTAGTCTGCATTACTAACAACCTTGCAACCTTACAACAATGCCTTCCAACCCAAACAAATATGTTAGCATACAGCTATCGTAACTTTTTTTTATTGTATCTACTGTTGACGGTCCACTGTTGAACACAAGCCAAGGTTTTACCCATAATTGCTACGCTTGATAGGCGGGTTGGAAACCGCGGTCAGGCTGTAATGACTTTTAAGAGACCATTGATTTCCCTTAGTCGCCTCTTACGACACATACGGGAAAAGAAGGGATTTTAAGTAAAGATGCAATAATTGTACAATTTCAGGTAATTACCAGAATAAGATATCGTTACGTCTACCGTCGAACGCGTGTGGGGTGAGGACCTCCGCGCTGAACTCCACTGTTGAGGAGCCAGACGAAGACGAGGACTTGTACTACAACGTGGAGCTGGTCGTCCAAATGGACAGGCACCTGCAACAGTCTTCCGACCAGGAATTGCTAATTAGGTGCGTATGAGGCTGCTCAAGCGCGAATCTACCGTTCTGACCATGATGGGCATGTCCACAACCCTAATACACTGGGGGAAAGGGATTGTTAGCAATGGAGTTTGACAGCCCCATTGCTAGCAATATGCTTTATTAGGTAGACCTCCACGTGGTTCCCTCTGGAAACCATCGTGAACAATTCTTGTTGAATTCGTCACGATGGGCTAACTGACCTGCTTCATACTCACCTATCATCCTTCACTGGTGCCCCGCCGGTGTATACCGATAGCGCGGGTGGCGTTACCATTCTATTATCATCCATTAAAAATAAAAAAAAAAAGCCTAATACACTTATGACGTCACACTTTCACGGTCTGTTGAGCTGTTGACTCCTATAAGTTAATTTTTATTTGTAATTTTTTTCATTTGCAGGGCAAAAATAAGAAGAACATAGCTTTAATCGTCACAAAATTGAGACCAACTTAGGAGTAAAGTCGATTAATTGCTAGACTAATTATTAAAATCGATTCAAAATTAGCAATATACAATCGCTTAACATATATAAGTATAATAAGTTATAAGTATAATAAGTTATACTTAAGTATAATAAGTTAATAACAATGTTAGCAAAGGCGAACTTATCTCTAAAAGAGATTTCTTCCAGTCAACCTAACGCAGTGGCATAGGAAGTAGTGAATGGGCAGTAGTAGTGCAAGACAGGAATTTAAATAAATATTTACATAAATTATAAATAATTATATATATACACACATACATACATATATATACATACATACATACATACATATATATACATACATACACACACACACACACACACACACACACACACATATATATACATACATACATACATATACATACATATACACACATACATACACACACATACATACACACGTTAAATACAACATATAAATATCAAATACAAGAGAACATAATGATGACAGTCCTCTAATCATTTTTATATTTAAACTAAATTGGAAAGATAGAATGATTTTAATTTAATTTTAATAATTTGATTTTATTGACGTATTGTGAAATTCCTCATGTTAAAAGTCACTTAAAAATGTCTGGTTATATGGTAGACATCTACTTTGTGATAAAATAAATGAAAATTTATGTTCAACTCTTAACCTTATTCTTACGGTTCAACATTAGACTGGATAAGATAGAGATATTAAACAATATGCTCTTGTGTTTTAGGTGTAAATTGCAACGTCGTGCGGTTCGCATCAACAGTTCAGCGTTAGAGACCGTCATAAATACGAAGTTGCACGAAATGATTGGGCAGGAAACGAAAAAAATGAGGTAATAAAACTTAAAATATTCAAGATTTTTTAAATAAAAATATTTATTATTAATCTTTTTCTATGCTGCTTCTTTAAGATAGAAATTCTTCGTACTGGCTTGTTATAAATAACAAAATAATCAAAGCATTTAATTATTTACGAGGAAAACATCCCGCTTCGAATTGGTAAAGATTAGTTCTAGAATATTTATACTAGCTGATCCAGCAACTAGTGTTTTGCACCCTACCTGTAACCATGTGTATGAGTGCATATTTTGAATTTTTTTTCACCAAAGCGCAATGCGACTTCTTGAACTTCCATAATTAATATTTGTGACAAAGTATTAGTAGTATTTTTACTCTGGTAAGAGACTCCGGAGACTGTACAAAAGTCGTTTGGTTGGGCACCTCTGTTCCATTCGTGTTTCTACCGTGAAACAGTTGTGACTGCATGGCTGTGTTTCGGTTTGAAGGATGGGATATGGCAGTGAATTGACAGGATACAAAGGAATAACACCTGAGTCCTCAGGAATGGCAACGCATGAGGGGTGTCATGCGCGAAATAGTATATTCTGTTATGTCCACGGCTTATGACTATAGGCGACGGTTACCATTTTCCATCAGATAAGCCGTCAACTTGTTTATCATTCTAAGTTGCATAAAAAAAGTGACTTGGCCTATCGTGATGATTGCATTAGGAAGTAACTAAGATGATTTATATAGGAACCGCGTGGAGATCAATCCGATAGATAGATTATATTATATTTTGTACCAAATATTTTTTTGTTATTGACCACATAAAGAATAAATAAATTATATTGTGGTAATTACAGTGTGGTTTTTAAATCTCATTACTAACAATCCTTATACCCGAGAGACTTTTTGTTGATCGATGAAGTTATTAAATTATATTTATTATAGATATTTGAAACTTTTTCATTTTAGAACTGGTAGAAACCGTCAGGGGTTCGTCAATCCAGCTGAATTGGAACAGCGAGAATGGTTGATGGAAGCGGCGCGCGCCTGGATGGAGCTGTCGCCAGCTGTGGCTGCTACGGAACCCGCCACGGTCGAAGTGGGACAACCAACTCGGCTCCTCATACAGTGCACTCTGCCAGGTACATTGACAATCCCCATTACTATGTAGATATTTTTATTACTAAAAACAAAATATTGTCGTTAGTTCTTAATCATCATCATCATATTAGCCTTTAACGTGGACAGTTAAAGGCTAATATGATGTCTATCTAGTAATTTCAATCTTGTTGGTTTCATCATATCAGTCCTTAACTGTTCACTGCTGAACATAAGCCTCCTCCTTGAGAGGTTTTGCCAATAGTTACCACGCTTGGCAAGCGGATTGGCTACTGCAGGTAGGCTTTGGAGATGAAAAATGAGAAAAAAAAATTCAAAAATAACATGAAATTACTAAATTATTTTTATAAGACAGATTTTTATCGTGCCTCCTATGAAAGAGGATGAGACTGGAAGAGATTCCGCTTTTAGGGATAAGGCCGCATTTCTTGTTGTTTGTATTTATAATAAGTTTACTACTGTAATCTTTTGGAGGGAATAATAAAGAGTATCTATCTATCTATAAATTCCAGTTGGCGTTGGCCTGCGGGTAACCAACTGCGTAGCACACGACGGCCTCGGAGAAGCATCACAGAAACTTTTAGACGAGGCAGGCTGCCCGATCGACGAGGCCATATTCAACAAGCCGACCATCCACCGCCACAAACCCAAGAGTACAGAAATCGACTTCTCCGAGTTGGAACCAATCGATCCTCAAAGGAACATCGATGAAAACTCCAATATCAAACAAATAAGATCAGACCCCGACTATATGTTTAAAAATATCATGACCTATCAACATGCCATTACAACTTTTGCTGCCTTCAAATTTCCCGACAGAGCGAAGTTGCATCTTACATGTGGTATCGAGCTTTGTAAAGGCCGTTGCCCACCAGTGGACTGCAAAGCATTACAGAAGCCTCAGCATACAAAAGACGGATTAGTAAGGAAGGCGCGTCTAGATAAAGATGCGAAGGGAATAGTGATAGACAGACTGGAAGTATACAATAGTATAGAGGTGCTTGCACCTAACATTGAGTTGGAAGATGAAGCGTCGATTAGAGGTAAGGCTTGTGTGAAATTAGATAAAGTAATCCATTATCCCTACGAAATATTTTACCAATAGTGACTCAGCAGTCCCATAGTAATTTACTTCGACTATCACAATGTTAAATTTGATATAATTTACAATACGTTACATTGTATATTAGACACGTTGATTTGCGTAAAATAGGTTTCGGGTTGGAGTCCCGATTGGGCTAATTTATAAAACTATAAAAAAAAATATCTTAGGTCTAGGTGTACACTTTCCATATAAAAAATATACAGGAGAGGGTACTGAGGAGTAAAGGTGCATTTAAGGGGTTTTTTTATGCCCATCTCAAAATTGTCTGGTCCGATCTCGTCCTACAAGAGTAGACACCAAACAATGTCTGGCGAAGAATTTAAGACGAAAGATATTTTAAAGAACTAGAGCCCCTCTAAAAATATTTTTTTGTGGAAATCATCTGAGAATATCTTTGATCAATAATAGTAAATAAAATCCGTTCCAAATCCCAAATCCGTTCAGTAGTTTTTACGTGTAAAAGTAAAAAACATCTATCGTAATAAACCTACGAATTTATTACATTAATAGGATTTTCTCGTATAGGTTCAAGACGAATAGAAGCAGAAGAAGACGAAATAGTCCGAAGATTCTCTCCTGGAGACAAGACCATCTGTTTATCACCTGGGAAAATGGCTCTTGCATTTTGCGTCCTTGGAGTCATATTCCTCTGTGCTATAGCTGTGGCCTTCGTATCTCTGGTGCGAGCGAGACGACGACTTGGAAGGGAACCGCTGCATACATCCCTCTCATTCTACACTGGCAGCAAAAGTATGTTCTCTTCTAGTGAGAGCTCCAGCTCTGGCCTAAGTGGGAGTAAACTGTTGCTTACTGATAGTCCATACTTAGATCAACATTCGACTTCTAGTAACAACTGGCCATATTCTAGAGCATTCTAACTTGATACAAATAGTTTAGTCCATACCCTCGCATACTTGGGTACTGAAATGAACTTATAGTATGTTTCAATAAAACTTAAATGTAGGCCGCCTTTTGTATCACTTTTTATAGAAATTAACTGTATTTATTATTTTTATAAACGGTGCATTAAAGCATTAATAAATAAATAAATTTAATGAAAATGTAACCACGTTATGTTGAAGTTATCATAGAAATAATCTCTAAATGAAATTATTAACACATCTTAAAATACTATCAATAATTTATTTATTAAACTTTAATACACCTATATAGTGCAAATGGCGGACTATACATAGACCATAGATAGGAAGAACGGAAAATATAATTGACGGCACAATTTATGAGCAAATAAATAGAAAAACAATATTAAATTAAAACAGTAATTTAAAAATAACGTACATAAATAATATTCATATTACTTATATTATATAATTAATAGATTATTATTTGTACTCTTATTGGAGACCAGCAGACTGTCTTATGGTTGGGTCAATTATTTGTTTGTTTATATTTCCATTAAATTATATTGAAATAGACTATTCTTCACAAACTTGAACGCCAATAGTTGATAAATACTTCTGACCAACTTCCCAATTAGGGATTAAAGTCGTGGGTAATTTTATTTATTTATTCTTATTTCATTAACTTATTACAATAAAATGACAAATAAAATACTGGTAAATTATTATTACTATCTATCGTTAAAAAAAAAACATTAAAAAGTAACAATATTGTTTCAAATACATTTTGTATGATTTAATATTTTTAATTTGAATTATTTTTATGATGAAGGTTTTTCTTCTCTCTTCAGGATATATGTGTAGGTAATAATACTAATAAAATACAAACAATTCTATTTGCATGTATATACCGAATTTTACAACATATATGTTTTAGATATAATTATAACATAATAATCTCTGAAATTATTTATTTAATTAACAAATACTTTACTCAGTGTTCTCCACTATTGAAATTGATTGTAATATGCCAATAAGACTGCATTCGTTATCATTTAAAACTCCAAAGTTTTATGTCTAGTTTTTGTTTTACTATTTATTTATTTCTTTAATATTAATTATTACGTACGTAATTAAATTAAGATGTTCAATTGAGGTGGTGCTTTTGAATATTTCAGTTTAAAAACTGATACCTTTAACTTTTTGGGCTTGGGTTAGGGTATTGTTAAGTGGGCATCCAGTTACTGTAGGGTCTTATTAGTTTTATTACATTATATTAGTTACTATACTGTTTCATTAGCACTTCCTCGATAAGTAGTAAGTATTCGAATTACTCTAAGTATCGAACAATATAAATTGTGATATCATTAAGTACATATCTACTTATAAAAGTACATTTGTATTTTTTTTTCAATAATAAAATGTAAAAAAATACATAAGTATTACATTTATTTCTAATTTTACATTAAGCAAGTACTAACAAATTACCAATTAACACATGTAAAACTACCTAACAAAGTTAGGTGGGGGGGGGGCGGGGGTTGTTAGTAATGCGGACTACCAGTCCCAAATCCTAGCAATATACCCTGACAAGTTGTTCTCCACATGGTCCTCCATAGAAATCATTGTGCTGAATTCCAGGTGTATTTATCACGATGGGCTAACTGACCTGCTCTTTCATTTTCACTTATCATCGCTCACTGGTGTTTCGATAGCGCGGGCGGGGTTAGATAGACAGATAATTTATTTATATTACTTACAGCACACAAATTACAATAAAAAAAAACATACACATAATACACAGTAAAAGACATAAAAGAATGAAAATAAAAAAGCAACAAAACAATATATATATATATATATATATATATATATATATATATATATATATATATATATATATATATATATATATATATATATATATAAACCAATAATTTCCTTTCTTTCCTTTCCTTCATGCGTGTACTATAATAATACAATATGGTCACAACTCAGTTTATTGCTTTGTCCTTAAAAGAGCAAAACACTGATATTCTGTTGTGGCTAAGAGTTAGTCGCGAAATACCTTATTAAAAATAATAATAAAAAGAAATATAAATAAAATGCATTGTGTGTATCCATTACATTCGCCTCCATTTGATTTTATATTCTAAATAAATAAATAACAGATACCATTAGATGAGGGGTAGTCAGAGGTCACTTTCTATCACATTCAGGTTACCATTCCATTATTATACATAAAAAAACAAAGGTAGGTACTAAACAAACGACCTAATATCATATACATACAGGATGGGTAGATAGCATAGATTACCGAGAGACTATGTCTTAAGGAATGGCCAAAATAACAATTTAGTACCAACGTGTTTAATTTCTTAATAGGTGTACCTTGAGGAGCATCATTCCATCTTTATTTATTAAAACACCATCAATATCATCATCATCATATCAGCCTTTAACTGCCCACTGCTGAACATAAGCCTCCCCTTTGGGGGGATTTTGCTAGTAGTTGCCACGCTCGGCTGGCGGATTAGCAACTGCAATGAAGCTCTAAAGATGTTTTAAGAGAAACGCTGCTACCCATCTCTCGCCTTCCCTTAGTCGGCTTTTACGACATCCACGGGAAAGAAAGGAATGGACTATTCTATGCCGGGACCACACGGCCAGTATAGTCCACCATCAATATAGTCTAAACTAATGGTTTATACTATGGCTACCTACTACGTAGATATGCTTAACTTAGTTTAGACTATACTATACTCTAAGGTTGAAAGGTACTAATACACCAAAACTAAGTAAACAAACATAAATGCGATTGGTTATATTATGAGAATCGGATCTGCGACCATTGAAATATAAATAATCCCAAACATCCCCAAGATGTACGTCTAATGAAAAAAAATCAGAGACAGTCTCGAAGTTGTAGAGAACTTAGTGGATATAGACAATCAATTTACCTCGTTTACGTAAATCAATTAGTAATATTGGTGCTACTTCTAAAAATCGAGTTAAGAATTAAAATTATTTTGCTTATTGTTTGATTAGATACAGTCATGACTAACTTAATTAATAACAACTGCTTGATTAATTCATGAGTAATTGTGAATTATAAAAAGTAATGATACGTCGGCACGTTTGTTAATAATCTTTAAACTTTTCTTTGATAAACAGCGCCATTAGTAATCAACTGAAAATAAATAAAATTGTATAGTAATTTTAGTTCTTCAATGGTGCTATAGAGGCAGCACTGATGTCAAAACAGAACCTGTGTAAAATCAAAATTGTAAATATCAGTCAATGTTCTTCTATAATAAATATACTCGAAGAGTAGTCTTTTTCGTTTTATAAGCAGTATGATATCGGGTCTTTAACTTTAGCTCATCTACTGAGTACATTACTTTAAATACCATAACTAACATAGACAAAAAGCAAACTTGTTGTAGGAACGCATCTCGAACAAATAAAACTTTGTATGAAACTTTGCTACCAGTGTAAAGTAATGTAATTATAAATACAATAAAATCAATTAATGCAATTTTACTCTATAAAATGGGCAGGTCTTCTACAACACGTATTATATATAAATATTTTACTAAAGCAAATCATAAATAATTATCCAATGTAATGTACATTGATATATCTTATTGCGTTTATACTCCTATGTGGTTGCATAGATTTATATTCTACTTTCGTTATTATAATAGTGTCGACTTTTAAATAACATAGTGATTGCATACTCTGTGATTATTTAAATATCATCTGTGGCGAAATCAACTATAACATAGGTAGGTATGAAGAGGAATGACATCATTGTTATCAAAGAATAAAATATAACAGAAGACGTGTAGGTAACTTACATTCGCAATATAAAGTCTTCTTTACTGTAATCAAAAATGTTTTATTATTTTATTTGTTAGTGACCTAAATATACAAATTTTGCCATACGGTAATGGGAACACAAGTTATTTAATAAAATCGTCGCACGAAATTACATTTTTAATGTTAATAATAAAAATATATAAAAAATGTTTTTAATATTATTATAGGAGCTCAAAATATACGTTCGTATTTTTTTTTGTCTACGTTCCTTTTGAAGTAAATTCATTTTTCTTCAGAAAATTTTACATTATAAAGTTACAATAATAATAAACTCATTTGTTCTACTACAAAACATAACAATAATTCTTTGTCAGAAGTATTTCAATTATTTTCAACTTGTTAATCGCTGGGCCTACATAGCATAAGTACTTACATCATTTACACAAGTAATAATATTTATAAGTCGTACTATAATAGTATTAACATAGATTATAATAATAGTATTCTATTAGTAGTAGGTGTATAATATGTTGACTTGAAATTTAAGGGAGATTTGAGAATAAAAACGATTACAAATATTTGTGTCTTTACAAAAATTGCTTCTAAAATATTTTTATTAAAGGTCAAAACTAAGTGCGTGTAGGCATTACGTGTCAAGTAACGCTTTTAATATTTATTGAATCTATGAGTCTATGATATGGGCGGTTGCTGCTTGGCTACCCGAATCCGAACGAACGAAAGGTGGGTGGTAATGGTAATCCTGTGATGCTTTCGCGGCGATCTTTTGCCCCGCATGCGATGCCGTATTCGTACTCGTAGTCACGGATGATATCTTGAACTGTGATTGTTTCATAATTTTACAAAGAAAGGTTATGTTTGTAAAGTTAAAAGTCGGTTCGGAAACTGTTTTTCGAGTGTTTGTGCCGTGAATCGTGAAATTAAATTAGGTAAGGTTTGTTACAGTTTTCGTATTTAATGTATATTGTGTGTGCCGACGATTCTATGTGGACAGCAGACTTGGAATAACTTTCCTGGATTTATTTGACGGGTATGTTTAGATATAAGTTTGTAAACTTATTGGAATAGGTTTTCGTTCAACTATTGCTGGAGGCCCAAAATAGCTGATGATTTGTCTCATCTTTGAAAAACAACTAGCTGCATGAATAAGACTAATATCTAAGAAATTGTTCCTCCATAAACATCTTAGATTATTACTAAAATAATAGATGTATATTCACAGTGAGTTTGGGCAGTCTTGTAATAGTTAATGTACTCGAGGGTCTTTAATTATTTTAAATTGGACCTAATTAGACTTCACGTTCCGGTATCGCTATACATTGCCAGCAATATTATTCACTGTTAAAAAATAAAATTTCCTAACAACGTGCACCAAATATACTGATTAATAAGTGCTTATTTTATTATAACTTAATAATAATTTTGTTTCTTTTTCGCCAAAAATTAGGTCAGTGGATACCCTTAGGAGCCCTTTAATTTTATCTATATATTGTACAGGAAAATCTTCTATTTTTCTGTAAGATCTCAATTTATATGCTAGTCCCATTTGTGGAAATCTGTGCATAAATGTAGGTTCAGAAATAATACCAATATAGTCTATGTTTTCATTTCTATTTCATTTATAATTAGTGTATTTGTTGTAAAAATATATATTCTGGTCTTATTTTAACCTATGCATAATATGAATCTATTAAGATAGTATCTGTAGCCCTCTTTTAAATTTTATAAAAAAAATTATGTGCTTGTGCTTGACATGACCTTTGATCAAATTTAGTAATTAAAAAAAAAAAACTTAATATAATATACATTTTTTATAGTATATAGTATAGTTTTTATAGTATTTCAATAAAAAGATATGCCAAGATTATTTATTAATTATGCTAAGTAGAGAAAATCTGATTATACCTGTATAGTGTTGGCAAGGATATTACCAATTAGTGCATTTACATCTTTGAGAATCTTAAAATCAATATGATACTAAATATAGCTTGAAATTGTTTATTCCGTGCCATAATTACTAATCTCTGTGAGAAATTTCATGGATATTTTTGCTGGTCCCAATTAGCCCCTATGTAGGTAGTAACAATTTAATTTATTTATATACTTGTGTAAATTCACTTATAGATATTTAATATAATTTATTATATATATAATATATATATTAGGTTATACCAAAATGTACACAGGCAGACTTATCAATTAAGATGCTTCCAGTAAACCTTGATAATCCAAAAGGAGAAAGTATTTATAGGGTTTATATATAAAGTGTAACATATGAGGTGCAAAAATAATACTTCAAATATTAAAAAAAATTATTATTGTAATCATGTGAACATTTATAAAAGTAAGTTATCATATTTAGTCACCCGCATATCAGTTTTATCAGTATCTTGTATTCGCTTCTAATCATGTTAGGTACAAAGTTATTATTTTCTAGACTCTATATCTAGAGTATTTCAGTTGACATGCTTAAAGCAAGTAATAACACACTTCAAGAATTTTAATCATAATATTAAATAAGTACTAATTAAATAAATAAGTACTTTAACCTCCTGCGGCCCGTTTTCAAAGTGGGTACATCCGAGCAAGACCCAGTGTCCTAATATTAGAACAAATTAATTAAGTCCTGAACGCCCAGACCAAAAATTGTTCATATCTTGGTAACCACAACAGATATAGGTGTAATATTTTAGGGATACTTTAATATTGATTTAGGCTTGCCCGACAGAAAAAAAAGACTCCAAAATATTTTGTTCTATATTTATCACATTGGGACGCTACATATAACCTGAAATCCCACAAAAAATGGAAATTTAAACACCTGATATAACAAATAATTCAATTCCTAATAAGTACATCCTTATTACGGGGTATCCAATACATGCCATAATCAAGGACAAGCCTATGAAAACTTTTAACTCGCCATTTGTTATAAGCAGACTCTTTCCTGTTTTATAAACGGCTGTTTGATTCGTTTTATCTACGATCATATCTATTAGCTCATCACCAAAGTATTGAGTAAAATAGTCTAATTTTGAAAAATTTGTTCTGTCTTGTATCGAGTACGATGGCTCAGAAAGCATAGGAAGGTTTTATGTGAAATTCTTTACAGCCCATGTAAACTGATTATCTGAACTGCTGCTACCGCGAGCACTAGTAATTTGCGGAGTGCGCTCACATCTTCTGCTGTAATGTGCATGAGCACGGGCTCGCATGCGCGATCGACCTCGTCCTCAACTACTTTTCAGAATTGGTGGTGGGCTCTTAGACTCTGATTCTGAGCTAGTACTGGTTTCACTTGCATCATTCCTATCTGGAACGTACTCATTGCCAGTATCCTCTCCTATAAAAGGATCTCCCTCGTCGTCTTCGAAATCTGATTGATGTAGTATCTCTAATATTTGACTATCTGTTAAAGGGAAAACTGTGTCAGCACAATGGCCTAGACTAACTAGAAGGAAGATAATTAAAGGTATAAATGCCCGGCGTATTAGTATTAACAAGAAATAAAATCACTAAAAAACCATATACCTAAACGCTTATAGTACTAGTATTAGTACAAAAAAATAATCACCAAAAAAGCATATTGATATTGACAAAATTACGATAAAATAATAGTGTTTATATAAACTGCATCCCTTTGTCCCGATAAAAAAACAAAATCTCGTAAATATAACACAAAGATTTAAAAGATATAAATGAATCAAACAAACCTTTTATCGTTGTACGTGCCACCGCTTCGACTTAGAATGACAGAAGAACGAAAAAAATTTCCCTGTCCATTGAAAGCAGTGCACTGTCAAAATGCCAAATATATTTACAAACTAAACGACATCGAATACACAACGTGGCACGTAATTCAAATGCGGCAGATGACGGAAAATACTTTGTTCTAGTATTAGTACAGTGGGTGTTGACCCCAAATTGCTATTTTAAAAATTGGGCGTTTACAACAATGTGATTTTGTTCTAGTATTAGGACTTCTGACCTCAGGAGGTTAAGAATAAGGCTTTATACTTAACATGTTTATTAAAAAGTATTTTATTACAGTACTTATATATTAGGTTTTTCTTTTTTAAATAATAGTAATGTGCCATATGTTGAGGCATTTCATAGGTAATATCTATTTTTTTATTGTTTACCTTAATTTATTTATTGGGATTTTTTTTATATATTAAATTTTTTTTTTGCTCTAACTCTAATTAAGGATAAAAAAAATTATATGGTAATTATTCAAGTGTATTTATTTGTGCAATAAATTAATTTAATAGTTGAAAATCAAATCTGTTTATCCCTTTAAGTGATCTAGTATTTAAATACATTTAAATATAGCTTTAAGAGTACTAAATAAATTAATAATAAATATAAGTTTTTATTTAATTGTCATTTTTCATCAGTGAGGTATAAATATTAAGATAACCTTGTATTGTTATTTATTCCTATAAATAAAAATAGGTAAAATGAAATATTCCATTATGTAATTCAACCTAGGTAGAATTTGAAATGTCAGTCCCTAACTTGCTACATTACATAAAGTTAAAGATTCTTATCCTACACAATACAATATCAGACACAATAAGGGGTATGAAACAGCATATATAATGGGAACTTGAATGCCTGTTTGACAAGATTGTGTAGGTAGCAGAGCTTTTAGATGAACCCTATGATGTGTAGCTAGCAATATGCCTGAGGCTCTGGATTCTAACATAAAAAAAAACAGCCAAGAGGGTGTAGGATACATTAATAGAGTTTCATAGACATTTTTCAGTATTTTTTTTTTTATATTGCAATAGTATTCATATAAAAAAATACTGATAAATTAATTCATTCCTCATCATGAAAGCACATTCTTTTAAAAGCCATGGAATGGAATAGTAATGCATCCAGTACTATTTAAGTGATTTCCAGAGGGGGGGGGGGGGGTTACTTTTTCGAGCATTCAAGTCACCAATTCCCAGTACTAACAGTCCCTTCTCTCATCAAAAATATATTAGGTTGGTATAAAGCTTTTATTAGTTTTTGTCCTAAATGTTCAGAGTTCAGTGAAAGTAAATTTTTTTTATTGATTAATAAGGTCAGAGTTCAAAAACTATATGACTATAATTTAATCTGTGCTCATGTATGTTGGGTGGATCGTCCATATTGCCAACACAGCCAATATATTGAATTTTTTTTTAAAATGTATTGAATTTAAAGTTAAAAAAAAAACAGAGCTATTCAGTGTTAGATTTAAGTACTTTTTTAAAAATAAGATGGTAGCCTTGTCTATGCTATCAATATACAGGTGGGGTACCAGTTAGTGATGGTAGCTCTTCACCTATCATCATCACACAAGATGAAAGCAGATCAATTAGCCCATTATGATCAAATGGCTTTCACAATGGTTTCCAATTGGAACTGCATGCAGCTCGATCTGATAGGGTATATTGCTAGTAAGGGGCTTGTTAGACCCCATTACTAACAATCCGCCTGGATTGACTTCAAAACAGTTGAATCAACATAATAAATTCGTCAGAAATTAACTATGATGGTTTCCATAGAGGTGGACCTGACAGGGTATATTGCTAGCAATAGGACTAGTCTGCATTACTAACAATCCCTCCCCCCATATATGTAACTGCAGCTGCATACATTCTTCTGCAATACATTTTTCTGTCCTCCCATGGATACCATAGTGCTGCATTCTAGGTGTATTCATCATTATGGGCTAACCAATCTGCCTTTTCATTGTCATCTATCATCCTTCACTGGTGCACTATAAGCGTATAGTGCAGGCGGGAATACCATGCCATTATCATCTATTAAAAAAAAATTTGCATCCCATAGATCTTTCTCTCTTCCAGTATTCAAATAAATTGGCAACCTTATGTATGGTCATAAATTTGTAGAATGGCAGATACCATGTTTCCTTGGATCCTACACAAGTAGCATTAAAAACAGTATTACTTAAATTTCTCTTTTCGGTTATTTGAATTAGCTGATCGAATCAAAGCTTCTTTTAACTATAAAGTTCTTGCACTAGCTGAGAAC